CGTGATCAATAATCAGTTTCTTTACCTTACAGGATTAAATTTCTTTTCTCACTTTATCGATCACTTGTTCGAATATTCATTGATCGATCACCTGTTCGATCATTTCAGATAGTCTGTGTCTTTCGCTGAATATATTCATACTCATGGTTTATCGATAACCTTATCCATCATCCATTTATCGATAAGTTGTTCGATCATCAATGACTGAAGTTTCATTTCTGTAACATTTGAATTATCGATAATATGTTCGATCAACAAGTGCTCGATCACTTGTTCGATCATGGAACAATTTTCATTTACTATGATAATTCTTAAAATCAATGATCTAACACTTGATCGATAATCATGTTGAACTAATTCAAAAGCTTTCCCTCAGTTTATCGATAACCTGATCGATCAACAAGTAATCGATCACCACTTCGATTAAGCATGTCCAAGATCTCTTTCTGATATTTTTACAGATAAATTATTTCATCTAGAATCATTGTATAATCGATTCATTTTTCTTCTTAGTTCATGACCAAAGCATACATCGCAAATCTTTTACTTGTTCAAAGTTTAAAATATACAGATCACTAAGAAAGACTGCAACGGCTCTTCAACGGGATTACGTAAACTACAACCTACAGTGTCAGAAGCTCAGACTCATTAATGGCGGAACCGTTGAAACCGGCGAAACACGCAAACGGAGTCACAACGGCTAGAAGCTCTTCCATCTAACGGCTACTTAACGATCTCAACTATAAAAGGCGCGAAGAAGCATTAATGAAGGGATTGAATAGCGGAACTACCACCTGTGATTATTAAGCCTAGCATTCAATACTCTGTTTTCCTCAATACTACTGAGCGTCAGTGTTCATCATTAAATTCACTCTGTAAGAGAGTCGATAACTACTCTTCATTAATTACTATTGAGTGATACTCAAGAGTGTGGACTCTTGAGAGGGCCTGTATCCTTACGGGAGTAAGGGGGAGTGATTGAGCGATTCAATTACTGTACCGAGGCACCAAGAGCCCTGTCGATCTTGGAAGATAGTGAAATACTCAGAAGTGTTCTGAGGACTGGACGTAGGTCAAGTGGTTAAGACCGAACCAGTATAAATCTTGTGTCTTCCCTCTGCGGTGAAATCTCTCCTGACTCTGACTCTCTGTTTTCAATACTGTCTCGTTGTAATTTTAAAATTTTTGTAACTCACCCAATTCACCCCCCTCTTGGGTGAGATTGATTCTAACAGAAGCGGCGTTTTCTTTGGGTCTCCTCCATGGCGAATCGTGTAGTGAGGGGCGAAGAGGGCTTTCGCAGCTCCTTGCGTAGGATATCGGAGGGTGAAGATAGGAAGGTGGTCAGTGACAGTGGAATGGAAGATTTGGGACAGTTTTCTACAATTCTGAAATAGGGAGTGATTGCGACCTTTTTGTTGAACAACGGCGGTCAACCTTATGGATCATTTTCTCTGTTAGCAAAGAAGAAGAAGGCTGAGTTCTCTAAGCTGTTGATGGAAGCTACAGGGTTCGTTGGTTTGAATATTTTACAGATTTTGAAGATGGTGTGGTTGAATACTGTCTTCTTTTTGTTTACTTGTATTTGGGAATCGATAATCTCCTCATTTGATTTAGAGTTGCCGGTTGCTGTTAAAACACCTCTGGTTTTTTGTTATTTGACTTAATATTGTTGTAATTTTACTTAGTAGTGTTGTAACTACAAATTGGTTAGTTTGATCACAGCAACATAGCATGACAATCTGAAAATGTTGGTGTTTTGTTTATGGGCAGAGCAATGTTAACATTTAGTATTTATAGTTGTAAATGGTATCAATGTAAATCCATGTAATGTTCTGAAATTTATGACAGACCTCCTCACATATTTATTATTTCACTTACCACAGTTGTTATTTGGCTTTCTACTTTTGTCAATTGATTTTCACAACTTGTCATTCGCCTTACTCAACTTGTCATAAATTACAAATCAGAACTTGTCATCTGCTAAAGAAATATGAAAATTCTGTCATTTGAAAAGAGAAAATTAAATTTTTATAAATTTCTTATTAGAAGTTGTCATTCGCCTTACTAAACTTGTCATTCATCTTACTCAACTTGTCATTCGCCAAAGAAATCTAGAAATAAATGTGTTGAAGGGAATGTAACGATCACCATTATTGTGATGATAGAAATGCAGTAACAGAAACATAGAATTTGTTAAATTACATCCACGTTGGTGGATATTTTGAAGCAAGGATGAAGGGGAAGTTGAATATATTAGAGGGAATATAATGATCACCATTGTTGTAATTTCGCTTGCTAGTGTTGTTAATGCAGAATTTTAACTATTATGACAACAATGCAGTGATAGAAACACATGACAATCTGATAATTATGGTCTTTTTATATTGTGTAGAGCAATGTTAACATTTTTTGTTAATCAGTTCTATATTGTAACATTGTAGAGCTATTTAATGTTATCCACTTAATTAGAAACGTGGTGACAGAAATGCAATGACAGAAACACAAAAATTCTATCATTTGCCTTACTAAACTTGTCATCTATTAAAGAAATCTAAAAATTCTATCATTTGAACAAAAAAAATTAAATTCGTATGAAATGCTTATCAGAAGTTGTCATTTGCCTTGCTAAAATTGTTATTTGCCTAACTAAACTTGTCATAAATTGCTTATCAGAACTTGTCATCTGTTAAATAAATCTAGAAATTGTCACTTGAAAACAGAAAATTAAATTCATATGAAATGCTTATCAGAAGTTGTCATTCGTCTTACTAAACTTGTCATTTATTAAGGAATTGTGCAAATTGTCATTTTAATGTAGAATCTTAAATTCCTATGAGTTGCTTATCAGAAGTTGTCATACATCTTACTAAACATCCTTGGTGAATGACAAGTTGAGTAAGATGAATAACAACTTCTGATGAGCAAGTCATAAAAATTTAATTTTCTCTTTTCAAATGACAGAATTTTCATATTTCTTTAGCAAATGACAAGTTTTGATATGTAATTTATGATAAGTTGAGTAAGGCGAATGACAAATTGTGAAAATCAATTAACAAGAGTGGAAACTCAAATAACAACTATGGTAAGTGAAATCATAAGTCAGTGAGGAGGTTTGTCATGAATTTCAGAACATTAAATGGATCTACATTGATACCATTTACAATTATAAATACTAAATGTTAATATTGCTCTACCTATAAACAAAATACAACATTTTCAGATTGTCATGCCATGTTGCTATGATCAAACTAACCAATCTATAGTTACAACACTACTAAGTAAAATTACAACAATAGTAAGTCAAATAACAAAAAACCAGAGGTGTTTTGACAGTAACTAACAACTCTAAATCAAATGAGGAGATTATCGATTCCCACATACAAGAAACAAAAAGAAGACAGTATTCTTGACAGTCGAACAACACTATATCAAAAACATATCTGGAAATGAAAGTTGAAAGTCATCAACTAGCATTAATGATGGGTCACCATCTTTTTTGTAATAAAGATTGGTGGGAATAGCCACAACCTTAATCATATTGATAAATGCATAGGCGGGAGATGAATATCTTTTAGAAGGAGAGGAATAGAAGGAAGAAGAGAGGGAGGGAGATGAAGAGGGAGAGAAGGACAAGACGGAGGAAAAGAGAAGAAGGAAAGAGAAAGAGATGGGGTGATGGAAGAAAGAAAATAAAGGCATTTCTGTCTTTTCAGCCTGATTTCATAATTATAATTTGAGACCGGGTCCTTCTTAGCAATTTGACTTATTCAGGTGATCTTTTTGTAATTTTAGTAATTCAGAGATCTTTATTTGTCATTTTCCCTAATTTTTTTCCGTTTAGCCTCCCTTACTAATTATAAATAGGCAAAATTTTATAAAAAGAACCCTTAAATTATCATATACCAATTCAAGCTAAAAGTGACAGAAAAGGAAGTGTTACTTGATATGGCATTTTACAAATACAATTAAATGACTAAAATGCCCTTATATCAAAAAGTTTATTAACAAATTTTGAACTTACAATGACAAATATTAAATAACAAATGACAAAAAATGTATTTGCAATGACAATTATTTTATTAAATTTCTGCAAATCATCAACCATATTCTTAAAAACTTGTAATACCCGATTCGTTCAAAAATGGGTTGGGTATGATATTATGATATTTGAATATATTCAACTAATAAGATTTGAATAATATTTTGATTAAGATTTGGGTATATTGAATGAAATAAGGAGTATCATGATTAAATGAGATTTTAATTGGAGGTTCAAATAAAGAAATTAATAATTAATTTTGAATTTAGATAATATCTTAATTGAGATTTGAATATATTGAATTAAATGAAAAGCATCATAATTAAATAATATGTCAATTGGGGGCTTAAATAAAAATAAATAAATAAATTTAAATTTTCATATTTTTTCCTAAATTCCACATTTCTAATTCAAATCCAATTTGAATGAATAAAAAAACATATTCCTATAACAAGTAAATCTTGAGATATCTTAAATAATACAATTTATTAGAATTTAAAATCTAATCAAATTTTTTAGCCCATATATCATACAGAGGAGAAATTTCTAATTCCAATTATATTCTGTTTAATACAATTAAGATTAGGAGAAATTATAAAAAAAGACATAGGAATTGCAAAAACACAGATAGGGACCATTGACAACTTTACTTTGGGTTTTGACAACTTCAGGGCATATTATTCTTGTCAAAACCCAAAGTGAAGTTGTCAAGGGTCCCTATCTACATTTTTACAATTCTAAAGTCTTTTTTAACAATTTTCTCTTAAAATTATATATCAAAAAATTCCAATATGGAAATACTAAAAGAAAATCGTACAATGGTACAGTTCACAAACATGACTTCTTTATTCCCTATCACAAAAGGATATTATATTTGAAGACTAATTAACTCTAGCAAGCCATAAATTGCTTTTAAATATAGAACAATTTGTACTCTTAAGTACATTTCGTTACTTTAATGATCTAAAAATCAAAATGCATGGTGTTCATACTTTATATGGTGATTTGCAGAAAACCTACCGGGTCCTAAAATCTTGGGGATAGAGAGACGAGCAATGGAGTTTTCATCATCATAGTGAATTCCTGTTTCTCAGACAAATCAACATCTCCGTCTGGGGATTTCCACTCGAAATTCCAAATCAGATTGGCCACAAAATATTCCATATGAAGTATGGCCAAGTTGTTTCCTGGGCACATCCTCCTTCCCGCTCCAAACGGCATCATCTTTATCTCCTTCGTCCCTGTGAAATCAAACGCCTCCACCTCATTCTTCTCGCTGTTCAGGAATCTCTCTGGCTTGAACTCCATTGGGTCCTCCCACACCTTCGGATCCCAACCCATTTGGGCCACCATGAAATTCACAGTTCCGTTCTTGGGCACCAGGTGATCATTCAGAACCACGTCCTTCGTCACAGAGTGTGGGATCAGAACTCGACCGGGAGGGTGACGCCTCAAGCCCTCCAGGATCACGGCCTTCAGATACGGAAGCTTGCCTAAATAAGCTTCATTCACCATCCTTTCCTTTGAGTCTCCCATCACAGATTTGATTTCGTCGTAGAGGCGCTGTTGGAGCTGCGGGTACTTCACCAAGTTGGCCATGATCCATTCCAGTGATGTGGCTGTGGTGTCTGTTCCAGCAGTCAGAAACTCCGAAATCAAATTGACGATTTCGTCTTCTTCAAGCTTTCGCTTCTCCTCAGGCCACTCTAAATCCAGCAGAGTATCCACGTATACGACTTCGCCTTTATGAACCTCTTTGGCTTTGCTCAGTCTCTCTTCCTTGACTCTCTTTCTCGCTCTGATCAGAGGAACCATCACGTCGGCCTGGTTCTTCCGTAGTTGCATGAACTCATCCCATCGCCTTCGCAGCAGTATCTTGGACATTCTTGGCCAGAAATTCAGCATGACGAATCTGTTGTACCTCGAAAGAATAGTACGCTGAACATGTTCCATCTCGTCGATTTGCTTGTCGGATAGCTTCTCACCGAAACACATGAAAGCTAACAAGCTGAAGATCGCGTGCTGAATATGGTCCCTGAGTTTGATGCGATCGGAGGAATCATGATGAGCCCTAAGGTTTTGAACGAGCATGTCGGCCACCCACCTCCGAGTGCTGCAGAAGGATTTGATCCGGGCCGGGTGGAGGATCTCGGAGGTGAGGTTAAGGCGGAGGGCACGCCAGGTTGGGCCGTAGCGGGAGGAGGTGATGTTGTGTTGGTGAGCGTTGATGATCTTGCCAGTGGCCAGGGCATCGGGACGGTCACTGAAGACTGCGCCGTTTTGAACAAGGGCTTGGTAGGCGAGGGATCCGTCGGCGATGAAAATAGCAGGAAAGAAGCCGACGGGGAAGGTAATGATGGGGCCGTACTTGGCATGAAGACGAAGAACAAGAGGCTCGAGTTTCTTCAAAGATACGGAAAGAAATAGCAGAGTTCCGAGAATTGGAAGAGGACCCGGAGGAAGACGATGAGATTTATTGAACAGTAGTGAGGGAAAGAGAAGAGTGAGAAATGGCTTCAAGAAAAGGCAGAGAAAGAGAGAGACGAGGACGATGACCCATGCCTCCATGATTGTTGTGGATGTTTCAGACCAGATCACGATGAAGCATGCTCTTCCTTCTTTATTTTGTACCTGACTCCATATGGATATCTTCACCGCTTCTAATTACTGAGGACAGAATTTTTTTCCTTGTGCTTATAGGCCTGTTTGGGTGCTCTGAAACCGTGGTTTCAGAAGCACTTTTCCGCAAAACGAGGTAACCTCCTCCACATATTTACTTCGTAATTCGTAAAAGCACTTCTGAAACCATGGTTTGGTTTCTATCCAAACACTCCCTATAAATAATTGGAAATGTAAATAAACTGGTCCTCCTTGGACGCAAAGACTTTTCTCCTCATGCTCATGGTATTTTGAAACCAAAAAAATAATTAATCATTTTAAATAAATTCTAATACTTTTTTTCGGAAGTTGGCATTGTGTTAGTTTTTCAAGAATAGTTTGAATCATTACTAAATAAAATAATTTTTTTAAATTTATGGAATTATAAAAATTAAACCTCTTTTCTTATGAATTATAGTAATTTTTTTGCACGAAATTAAAATTATGAAATAGATTTCAAAAATAAGAATTTTGAAAAAGGGTTCAATCAAATTATGATTCCACGTATCACCAAATATAAACAACAAATAATGTTAGTTATAGTACCATGTCATAAGCTGCATTCATAATTTCATCGAAATTGACAACTAAAGCTACCCTAACATGCTGAGTCATCGGTTGGACCAAGATAAGACGCATACCGAACATTATTAATTACACAATCACTAAATTTTCTAAACATGTAGCTGTACATTTTTAAAACTTTTGTATTACTACTTGTACTTATAATCTTAATTATAAAATTTTATTTATAAATTATAAATGAGATATTATAATTATTACAGGAGTTAATGCTTTGTTTAAGCTCTCCACTACTTGTATGTGCTTTTATAGCTGGACTCGCCTGATTAACTTTCACAATTCTTCTAATAGCATCTTTCACTATCTGATTATTTATTCTCTAATAGTTACCTCGCAGATGGCATCAGTATGAAATTAGGACTTGTGATTTAACTGGACTTCGAAAATATCGACCTACCTTTTGGATGAGAAGTGACAATAAAAGAGACTTCTTACCGGCAGCTATGGGGTACTGATCTCCCCGCCGTCGTAGGCGACGGGGCTGATGATCTGTGTGAAGGTCGCAATGGCGTTGAGCACTTGAGCCATAATTAACATGATCGTGCCAAAATAAAAAGATTATGAGTAAAATTACATTACTAAGAAGATCGAGATGCTGGGCACAACTGAAAAATAAGATCGAAGATAAAATTGCATTTAGCTCCTTCTTTTTGTGAGTCTAGACAAATTGAATGGTGCTTTATAAATAATAATTAAAACTACCTCTAGTTCTTAATATAAGAGGTAGATAATCATTTGATGATATTAAGAAAATTAATTAAATTAATTGTTTTTCACAAATATGTGTTAGTCTCCTAAACTATTATTTTTAATCATGTGTATTGGATTATTAGAATTATCTTTTAGTGGAAACCTCTTGTAATCAATTATATGGATATTTTGAGAAAAGATAGGAGACAAAGTTGATTGAGGTCTTAGATTTAAAACTAAATTCAACCCATAATTAGCTCTTATATTAAGAATAGGAGATAATAATATCTATTTAGTTACATTATATATATATATATATATATATATATATATATAACGTGCGTGTATATAACATAAGACAGAGAAGTTACGAAAATCCTACAATTAAACTAAGGAATTTGGAGTTGGCCGAAAAACCCTAAGGATTTTGGAAATCTTGTAATATCCCTCTCTACTCTCTGGTAGCTGAAATCTAATACTGCCCCTCATTTTTAATATAAGAACTTGTTTAATTTTTATTTTAATTCTAAATATAAGATCTCAGCCCACTTTGTCTTTCACATCTATATATTCATTTTTTTTCAAAATAATTTTTATAATAATAGTAGTTCTAACTAATACACTTAATTAGTAAGGATATTTTAAGAAAAACAATACTTATTTATGACAAATAACTAATTCAACTAATTTTTTTAATAAACTTAAATTAGTGAACTAGCTTTTATATTAAGAGTTTAGGTTGAATTCTGCTAGGAGTAATTACTAATTAGAGACAAGATGTTCAAAGATTGAATGCAATGATAATCACTTGCAACTCGCGTTTCCTTGACATGAGGGAAAACGAAGGCGGTGGAATTTTTTTTTTTTTTTTTTAAAAAAGGCGGTGGAATTGTTTGAAGAATGACACGTCATGCTTTGCCTAATTATTCAGCCTATGCCGCCTCATGTTTAATAAATCTTAGTACTGCCCGGCTCTTAATATAACAACTAACAACTTGTCGAGGGACCAGTTTAATTTTAAATATAAAATATCAATTTTTCTTTTAAATTTATAATTTATTTTGTAAAATATTAATTTTTATTGCACTTGGTAAGGAAATTTCTATTTAAGGATGAACATGATTAAAAATGATACTTTAAAAGACATGATTAAAAATAGTACTTTAAAAAAATTAACTCGTATAGTTGTTACAAATAATTAACCTAACTAATATATTTAATCTATTTAAATTAATTAAGTATTTTTTACATATAGACAGTATTAATTTACTTGAATTATTCTTTCTTCTGCCATTCGATCGCTTTAATGAGACATGCACGATGCATCCTTAAGTGGCACGAAGGAAATCGAGGAGAGAGGAGAAAAAATATTAATAAGTTTAATTTAAAAAATTGAAAAAATGAGGTTAAAATATTTTAATTAATTTTTTTATTCTTTTATCTTATATTTTTTTATCAAAATTTTATAGCCCCACTTCTCTAATTTTTTAAAACGAGCTTATTAAAAAAAAAATTTCTCCTCATTTCTATATTTCTCGTATCAAATGCACCGTAAATGCCAAATATTTGGACTTCTTCTAGGAAAAGTACATAGAGTCCAGTAATTATATATACATTTATAAGAAAAGTATTTAAGATCTGACATTCACACTTATGCTGTCAGCTCTGGGCATATCTCTGTTTCTTATTCTCATAGAATAATTCAAAGCCCTGTAAGATGGCCTAGTTAATCCAATCACTAAATGTGCTCAATAGGTTCTTTTAACTAATTCTCGACATCATACCAATAATTGGTGCCCAATGCAATAATCGGCTCAATATGGATCCTTTATTATATATATGCAAAACGGGCTAGATCAGTAAAGCCCAATTGTAAAATAAAACAGATCATAAATGTGGGACAAAATAAAATTACAAGGCCCAACTTTGAGTCCAATTCTTTTGTACAAAAAAAAGTCCAGTTCTTAAAAATAGCGTCCCAAAAACAACAGAATCAAAGCCCTGCATTCTTCAAGGGGGCTAGGTTTTGTCGACTAAGGGTGTGTTTGGATGAAACTAAATCGTAGTTTAAAAAAGTGATTCTAGAGAATAGATTCTGTGAAGAATAGATTCTGGAAAGAATAAATTTTATGAAAAAGTGATTTTGAGAAGTGAGAGTGTTTGGATAGTTGTTATCAGAAGCACTTTTTATATATATAAATTACTAAAAAAAAGACACAAGTTAATATGATAATTACAGAAAAAATAAATTTTATGATATATTTTAATTTGAAGGAATAAAATTGTTAATAATATATTTTTTATTAACATAATTAATAATACATAAGATAATATAATTAATAAATAATTAATATGTATATATATTTATAAAATATAAGATTAAATATGTTTATAAAAAAATATGTTTATAAAAAAAATAACAAGATACATATTCTATAGGCTCTCACACTCTCCCTTTTTTCTCCAAAAGCAAAAAATTTTTGCTTTTCCAAAACCATGATTTTGGCCCAAAACCATGGTTTGTGCAAATTGGGTGGGTGTTTGGGTGACTTATCACCCAAACCATGGTTTGGGGTGTCACCCAAACGGTGCCTAATTTTATAATATCTGAGAAAAATTAAATCCAGTTAACTATAACAGAACCATATATGAGCGTACAGAAATGAACAATTGCTGGCCAACTTCATGCAAACTTGAAAATTCCCAAACTCTAGAGTGTAATTAATTATCTTACGCTAAACGAAATAGGATCGAACCATTATTATGTAATATAACCTCCCATAATTAATTAAATAGTACTGGCCTTGAATTTAAGAGAATTCTGGGGAAAAAAAAAGGATGCAAGAACAAGACTGGTTTCCTAATTAAGTGTGTAAATATTTTAACAACCGACGCCCGACTGATCCTAAGGCCCACCTAAATTAATCAAACTATCCAAATACCAAAAAAGGAAAAATGCAAAATTGCCTATAAAAGCACTTTCTTTCCCGGCTCTTTTTGGTCTAGTCTGTGTCATCGTACTTGTATTTGTTGTGCTCTTTGTTTTTGCCTTTTTAGAATCTATCGTACACATTCAGACATAAAAGTTTTCATCTTTATAAGTAGCAAAATACCAAAAGAGAAAAAATATCAATTAAAAAGATAAACGACAACATAGAAAAGACATGATGATAATTTTGTAAGTATTTTTAATTTTAAATGACTCAGGAACTAACTTGAATTAGCACTTTTTATATCGATTTTGATTGTGACAGACATAGAAAACATTTCAAAATAAAAAAAATTCCTTGTTTACATAATTATATTAGTTGGGTCTTAAATAACGGACATAGATTGTCTGAATTATGTTGGTTTTTAACTCTAACCCACGTAAGAACTCATTTCTAAATTCCTAAAGACTTCAATTGTTAAGATTGTTTGAATTGTATTACATTTGATGATTGTATTGAAAACCGTATAGCTCAACTACATTGCTTCTGGTTGTGTAATGAACTATTGATGTTGGTGTTTATTTTAATATTATAGGGGTGTTTGTAACCGAACAAATTAAACATATTTTAAAAAAAAAAATCATAATCTACATCAGTAATATTTAATGGTCACATGGCTTAGAGTATTGCGTCGGTTAAGGATCATAT